TTTTTTTTTTTTTTTTTTTTTGTCGAGAGCTTTAAATAACCCTCCAGGAAGAGAACAAGCGGCCGCTTGCAGCCATCAAGGCTTGCGCGGGAAGGATGCTGAGAACCGTGACGGGCGTTTCTGCAGGAACAGAGCAGGGCAGTTGGCGAAACGGGCCAGCCGCAGTGATTTTTCCAACCCGTTGGCCACGTGCTTTTACTGCCGTACGAAAGGTAGCAGAACGGCAGGGGCACGACGCGCATCCCAGTTTGCAGGTGCAGAAACGCACCCGCCTCTGGGCCCAGGACAAAGCACAGCGCCCACCACGGCGAGAGCAACCTCTCCAGCACAGCTAGGCACGCTCCCCCCCCTCTTTACACAATTGTGCTTTGCAAACTACTGCCGCGAGGTTTCACTGCTGCTTTTGGGTAACAGCATATTCTCTCCTCAGGTCTTCACATACTGAAATCAGCCCAGCAACAGCATGATCCAAGAGGAACCTCAGAAAATATGCTGCAATGGAGCCAAAGGTGGGAGCGGATCAGTGCACGGAGCTACAGCCAGCGAGGAAGCAGCAGCTTTCCCAGAAGATTGCGTGGTGTAACAATTTTTTCTTATTAAAAAGCAGAATTTTGGGAGGAGGAGCTTCCTTTACCTTATTATTATCGACAGATATTTCAAACATGCATGCTTGTTCCAAGAACGGCTTTATGCAGGTATTTCACAAGAACACAACACTCAGATTATTCTGTATGTCAGAAACAGATCCTGAGAAAAACAGTGCGAGGAAATACTGTCTCAATCAACCATCCAGCAATTGGTAATTACTTCCATTGGAGCAATGGCAAATCCTTTCTGTTATCTACTACTAACTATATAACAAATGGTATTAGTCACTAATGAGTGCGTAGCCCTCTCCCCTCTTTTCACCCACTCTCCCAAGTCAAACAGATTCACGGACCACTGATTCTCATTTTTAACTATATGCACATGACGAATTATAGACGTGCACGTGTAAAAAGGATCAGCAGGTACTGGAGCTCTGTTTGATGCCCATGGCACAGCACACCAGAAGACTTTTTCCCCCTCTAACACGTACACATCGATTCACGTCTTGGTTACTTTTAACCGAAGTGAGCTACTACCAGCAACTTGACTAAGGAAAATCCATCTGGTGGGTGGTCTCAAGTTCTTCGAGTTACAGGTCCAAAGCTTGCGCTGCAATGGACACAATCCCAAAGCATTTACCAGTTCATGAGATGAGCCACAGTGAGTTAACCCTTTTTTGGGTTTCCAGCAGTCAGGCTAAAAAGCGCCATGGTGCAGTCCCAGAAAAACACAGCGCTCCGGCTTTCCTTAGGGCTTCGAATTGATACGTTTCAGAGCGCAGGCGGAAGACATTGAGGACAGCAGTTTACAGGAACACTAAAACCTTCCTAACTGTGTAATAACGTCCACTTGTTGCATTAAGGCCCCAGGCGGCTGAATTTGGCTTTGCCATTTTCCCCGGCGTTCAGAGTCTTTTTTCTTTTTTTAATTTATGCTGTAGTCCAACCTACCTGAGATATAAATAACAGACATAATTTCCATTTCAGGAGCTAGCTTTCATTCTAGCAGAGTATAAAGTCTGCACTTCAGAAGACACAGTCTTTCTAAAGCTTTTCCCTTTAAGGAGACACACTAGCCAACGCTTACAGTACCGTACAATCTAAGCAGCACTAATCTGCTTGGCACTAGACAAAAACTAGAGTTAGAAACTAATTCCACATTCAATGTTTATTTATTTGTAATACAAATAGAAACGTGTGCCCAAATCTTGCCTTAAAGTTCTACTCAGATTGTTTAAAAAAACCTACAGAACATTCTTTCATCATCTGACAGTTAAAAAGCTGCATTTAAAATAAACAGTTTTCAGTAGCCTGTCAAAACAAGTGACATTTTACTGTTGGAGTACCTGCAACTTCTACCAAGGAGAAGTACTTTCTCAAGCAACAGTTTTATTATACAATCAGTTGCTTATCATAGAAGATCTTGTGATAGGACAATTTTTTAAAAATCAGTTTTAATAGAGGTTTTCATAATGAAAGGAGTAAAAATCATGGGAAAATTCTCAAGTCCAATTCAGGGAGGCACAGACTCCACGCTTATTGGGAAAACCAGCTTCGAGCAGTACCACGCTCCAAAGGAAGACTCTCTTTGGCGACAGACTACTCCATTAGGAAGATACAGCATTTGGAATTCGAGAGTGCACTTCTACATACTTTGAGTCCAAAAGGTGCATGTTCATCATTAAAATAACAAAAACAAGTTAAAAGCATTTTTGAAATGTTGGGACACACACAAACACAAATACCCTACAAGCTTTCTAGGTGTCCATGCATGATCTTTATATATGAGCAACTTAGCTACATAAAGAGAAACCATGATCCAGGTTCATTTAGATCAATGTGCAAGTTCCTTCCTCAGAAGTCATTCAATACTCACTGTAGTGTTGTAAATGAAGAACTTGATAATTCAACTGTTCTTAGATGAACATACCCATAGTTGAATTGAAACCTGTATTTCCTAACAGAGCATTCCATACTTCTGTAGCTGCTGATAACTGCTGTTCAAATTTTAATTAAAAAAAATAAAAATTTAAAATGTTACCACTATCTTCAGCATTAACTGAAAGGCATAAAAAAGATGGTGAGGTATGAGAGCAACGGGCTGCTCTGTACGTTGAGACTTCACTTGTAGCCAGCTACCACATAACTTCCAATTGTTTTTTCTCACCTCACTCCAGGAAGATTTACAACTTGCAAAACTACTGTACTGGTAGCATGGGGACAGGGGCTTTCAGAGCTGCCTTTGTAAATAACTACTTAAAGTACTCGACTGCAAATCATAGGTGGAAATGTGTATTTGAAACAAAATATTTTGCACTTATTACATTTGTATTCCTTTCATTTTGTTTATAAAACAAGAGATAACAAAGCAAAATTTTAATTAAAAAAAAAAAAAAGACCAAAATCTCAAACATCAGATTTGATTACAGGAAAATTAAAACAAAGAATGGAGAAAAACAAATCTCTGTGTATATATATGTATTCTGTTGTCTGCAGTTGATGTCCTCACGGAATAGCACCACCACGAAAGAGTTTACGTAGCCTAGTGAAACTTCACAAATTCTTCCAGAGTTCTGGGGATCTGGTTTTGGTAGCTGATGTTATAGATCCGTACTGCTCGGGCAGCCAGGCACTTGAGACTCAGCTTCATTTGAGTTTTAAGGAGTATTTCAGACACCCCTGTTGTACTTTTATCCAGAGGGGTTTTCTTCTGCTTATTTGTCATGTCTGTATGCGCCCCAGCCTCCACCAGGCTGATGATGATGGAATGCAACGTCAAGAAGTCACTGATGGGCCTGTGGTATTGGACAATGATGTGGAGCGGGCTATTTCCTTCGTTGTCCACCGCATTCACGTCCGCCCCACAGTCTAGCAAGAGTTTTGTGACGAGCGCGTTGGGGAAGCTGCAGACATCATTCGTGTGGAAGTCGTCCACCGGCGTACTGGAATTGACAGCATGATGCAGCAAACTAGAGCCATCCCGAGTCCTGGGATCGAGATGAATCAGGTTATAAATTTGTTTGTTGATTCGCGACTGATCCTCTTCACTGCACTGGGTCTTGGTAGAGATGCAGACTAAGTACAGGAAGGTGAAAATATTGCATTCATAGTTGTCCATGGCTGTGTGGATGTCAGTGTCTTGGGTGGTTTTGATCCTGGACATTCCTTGTTCTATTTCCAAGACGCTGCACCTCAGGACACTCTCGATGTCCTTGGCTTTAACAGGCTCGTTTAAGTGTATCATCTGAGAAAACACTTGAGCAAACCTCAGGAGATCCTTGTGAGTATTCCTATTGCCTTTTTGCCTTAAATGCAATGCATGGAGCCATAACTTGATACACTGTTCAAACTCCATGTTATCTGCATAAACAGCCCCGCGGTAAATAATGGGGTGAGACACATCAATATTGTCCGAGCCCAGAATTCTTTCACGCACAATGAGGCCTTCCATGTGAAGGGCATCTCTGTCCTGCCTAATAGACTCTAATTCCTGAGGAGTTCTGCATTCAGTTCTGTTTCCATAAGCTTCAATCTGTGGAAGAACTTCCTTTTCAATTATATTCTCACTGTCTCTGTACCTCTCCAGCATTGCTAAATATAAATAGTGATAAGTCTTCATTATATCATAATTTTCTCTGTCGTTTGCAAACGAGGCACCCAGAAGTTCCAAAGCTTCAATCCTGCTTCTTCGATCGCAATCAGCGTGAGCAAGCAGCAGCTCCACGACATCCGCCTTGCAGCTCTCGGCAGCTACTTTCAGGGGAGTCATCCCATGGCCGTTCACCATCATCGCGGCCTTCCACTTGACCAGCTCCCTCGCTATTTCCAGATGGCCAGCTTCAGCTGCAAAGTGTAACGCTGTCGCACCACAATGGGCTTTGGCATTGGGATCAGCGTGCTGCTCGAGGAGATATCTCACCACGTCCGTGTGGCCCTTGTAAGCCGCAATCATAAGGCAAGTGTTGTCATACTTGTTGGCAATGCTGATGTTGGCATTGTTTTCTACCAGGTATTTAACAATGTCCAGTCTGCCATCAAAACACGCAGCCCGCAGGGGAGTCGAATTGGTCACTGTAGTGTGATTCACATTGGCTCCATGACTAACAAGCAATTTGACAACTTCAAAGTGTCCAGCTCCTGCTGCACACCAGAGAGCAGTGGCTCCATCAATGACAAAGCTAAAAATGTAAAGACAGAAACAAGCAGTTAAACTGCTGCTCTTTTAAAGAGAGCTGAACAGTATGCAAAGAAGCACATACCTAGCCATTAAGGATTTTCTATAGCCATCCTGTTTTTATGCTTGAAGGAATTTACTGGAATGGCCAAGGTAAAAGAACGAGGCTTATCAAGTACATGGACTTCCTGAAGGAGGAAACGTTGGAAGCTGAGACTTCAAAGCAGCCACGGGGTTTAGCCACATTTTCCACTTGCACCTCCTGGGCTGCTTCAAAGACCCCACCTCAAGCTCCAGCCCCCAGCCTGCCCAGGCCTCAGGAAGAAAACGGTTACAAGAATTACTGTCAATTTGATCCCGCATGTGAGAAACGGACACACCAGAGGGAAAACTTAAAGTCCACGTACTGACAAAAAGAGGACAGAACGCAGATGTGAATAGAGGCGTAGCTATACAACACACTGGCTTTGGCAGCAAAGCTGGCCCAAGAAGTTCATATCCTAGCGCTTGTTCTCTGCCCCCGTGCTGCCATTTGCCACCCTCTCCGTTCTGCCAACGTCTGCGAGACCACACTGTAAGCCAGAGCAGCAATCTGTTTAAAAAATAAATAAATAAATAAATAAGCAGAGGTTATTCTAAGCAGTTTTGCTTCAGAGATCTGTTTTACATTATGGCCCGGTAGACAGCTTACTGGCACTCATAAATGAGGGGACAGTTAGCTTTAGCAAAGGAATCACAGTTTCTTAAGCTGTTTGCGTTCCCAAATTCAGCATGTCATGTAACTACAAAGATAAAGGCTGATGGTCTTTCCATTCTGCCAGGTCTTTGAAGCAGCACTTAAACGTAGAAACAGGAGGCGTTCACACCGCAGTTAATATACACTCAAAGCACATCCCAAACCACAGAGGAAGGACAAATATCTTATTTCCACGTGCCCACACAGTCACGTTTGCCAAAGTTAAAACATTGTAACGCACCAACTTAGTTTTAACGGTGCTTTTTACCACTTAACAAGACTCTGTTGTAGCTTAGTAGGAATAGTTGTGTGGCTATTTGTAACTCCAGCACCTCTAGACAACGCCTCAGAGGCCACGTGGAATGCAGAAGTGTCTACAGAACAGATGTGGCTACCTTTACTCACAGTAAGAAGTTCTTTATTTTGCAAATAACCACACTAAAGCACTTTTATATTAACACAGGAGCAGAGATTTCAGAGTCCGGACCTGAGATTTGTTAACAAAGTAATTTATAGGTGTGCTACAGGTGTATATATTCACAAGTCCAAACAAGTGGATCTTCTGTGTCATCTTATGACAAGAAGAATGAAAATAATGGCAAGTATGACGTGGGGACACGTGCCCCCTCTCTCCTCACCAGGCTGCCCGTCCTACTGAGGCCAGAGAAGAGGTGATGGCACATTGCGCCCATTGTGTCTCGAACAACACTTCCTTTAATCTCTATCAGGCAGAGGCTCTGGCAAGCAGAGACACCAGCCCATCAACGTTCAGCATTAGCAAAGAGAAAATTCAGCAGCAAAGCGGGGCCCTTTCTATGTTCCTGCCAGCAGAGGCCCTTCCTCTAGCTAAAATCAGGCCAGACCCCCTCACCCTAGGCATTCCCAATTTTGGTTTGTGAAAGGAGAAGAGGGGGAAAAAAGAAAAATCACAGGAGCAAGTCAGCCTTTCCCCCTCCACTCCGCGTATGAGAATCAAATTAGGCTCTCCTTAGTTAGGTGGAGCTACGCAGACCTAACTGCAGCCCATCGAGCAGGAGCCAGATCAAAGTTCTCAGCGGAGACCCATTAGGAGTCCTCTTTCAGTACCTGAAACGAGCTCTCCTCTCTATGCCTGCAGCATACAGTTAGCAACGCGCAAAACCTGAAGCTGTTCGTAAAACAAACGTAGCTTCATGATTAGTCAGCCTCACTTTCAAGAATCACAGATGAGCAAGTACTTGCTGAGCACTGTGGGAGATTTTAAAAGCAAGAGGGAGAATGACGCTAATGAAAACAAGTTCAGGAACGTGTAAATACAGGAGTCTACAGTTGTAACCCGAGTACAGATAGCATTGCTTCAAAATCTAGTAACGCTTCAGTACATAAAGTTTGCTGAACCAAAACATGCACATCAGCATTGTCAGGAACTTAAAATTTGTTTAGAAACAGGCTTTCTGCAATGACCTGGCCACATTTCGCAGAACAAACCCATTTACAAACATGATTTGACAACACAGTGCCTACATACAGACGTCGGCTACCAGAGCTAGCTGCTACCAGCAATGAAAACGTCTTCTTCCTTTTCCTAAGCGTGCTGGCCTACCACCACAACAAACATCCCGGGGTGCCATACGTCCGGACAACCTGTCTTCAGTCAGCTCCATGAGATCAGAAACCAGCCTCTTCCAAGAACAGGAGCACCAACACCACTGTCCTGGCCCCATCCCAGTTCAAGGCAACGCGTTCCCTTCCTCCTACCTCCCCCTGCTGCATCGGACAGACGGTACACTTTTCTCCACCTCCTGTCTTAAAACATCACATATCGCTCCGGGCCATCGCGCGCGTCGGCCTTCAGCGGTGAAGGCAGGGAGGACTCCTGGGCAACCTGCACATTTGTCCAAACTGGACGTGGGAAAAGGCACGGTACGAGCAGGCAGAGGCCGGGCTCCTGCTGCGCAGACAGCACTCAGCCTGCGCTCGCCCTGCCGCCGGGGGACAACCCCGAGCCTCCTGTGACCCACGACGCCAGGTGATGTCACAGAGTGCTGCGTTTCGGTGCAGCTCGGAGAAAGAAAAGGCCACCTGCCCACCACGACGGGGGACTCTCCAGCCCGTGGCTAGGCCGTTATCCCTTCTGTAACTTCCGCTGGGGGAATTTCGGAACAACAAAGGCATCTACAGCTCCTACGGCCGCTACACGAACGCCGGCGGAGGCGGTCTGTGAGGTGCTCCAGCGCCAGCACAGCCGCTCGTGGCTTTCTCGGCCGCTGGCCGAGCAATAAAAAGAGCGCGATTAGC